AAATGTTGAAAATGGAAACAAGGTAATCTATACACTTTGAGTGCACCACTACTAGCTAAGCAAATGGGTAATTTGAAGCACCTCATTGTGCCTTAATAGATCCACCACAACACATGTGGGTACATATCAAAACGTAAAGTATTTGAAATGATATACATATAAAAATACATAACAGTATATTACTTTTAAAATATAAAACAATTGAGTGAGGGCCCGTGACCACACTGGTCCTAGTGTGGCTCCGCCCCTACACAAAGATATTAAACACAAAAAGTATTTGGTAACAAGCAGAGAGAAAGCAAACATCTGGTTCTAATCTATATGAATTATGAAGTATAACAGCATTGACTAAACCAACCAAGAAGTGCAATGCATCGTGAGTATGTGATGAAGTTCATACCTCATTGTCACATGAAGTATAGGCCTCAACTTATGTGCGGGGTTTAGTTGTTTTAGAAATTTTTAAATGTTCCAGGTACACCACGTGTCTGGTGTACCATCCAATAAACATAGAACATGTGGAATTGTTATCCAACTTACTGCATTTCTTCTTATGACATGTGGTGGACTGCATTGGACATATTCCATATGTCTTCCGTCTATTGGATGGTACACCAACCACGTGGTGTACCGGGAACACTAAAAAATTACTCGGTAAAGTTGTAAGCCAAAGTCCAATTGTAAAATATATTTTAATTTTGTTTTAAAAAGTACATGTGGCAGATTTTGAATGGGAGTATCACTAGCTGACATGGTGATACAGTATCATTCTATAATTTCTCCCTATCTACGACACTATCAAGAACCTTTCTGGCTCGTACCGGTTAGGGCTTTCGAAGGACTTGGGATCTCTTCCAGTCCACCATGCATTCACAGAAACTTGTGTGTTGGCCTTAATGTCGCAGCCATTTATCGTTACGTCCCGGCTTGAAATTCGAGGCAACAACAATGGAACTGGAGGATGCAAGCGAAGAGTCTCTTTGATCACTGCGTTCAAGTAGTGCATGCTAACCAAATCATCCTCTGTGACTGTCTGTTGTGTTTCCTGCTATTCCCCTCACCTCATTTTGCAACTTTTTCATTATTTTTTGGATGCGTTAAAAGCTCAAAGATATCCCACTCTACGACTGTTGATGTGGTATTGGTGCCGGCAGAAAGCATATAATATCATGCAAAGGTTCCTAGAGTTAACCTCAAAAATAGATAGCTAATGTGATAATGTTAGTAATGAGAATTTAAGACGAGGCATTAAATTAGTTCCTCAAATGATGTACATCACAATGTTTGATCTATTCAAGTATTGGATCCATTCTGTACTTATTTATAATTCTAGTAATGGTTTTTATTAAACCTCCTTGAGGTTTGGAAGACTATCAGCAGAGCCAGCCTTGGGCCTGGGTGCCGAGGGCCTCCGATTTTTGGGGCCTTAAAATTTTTATAACTATTACAGGAGCCCAATCAGCCAGGCACCTTGTCCATTCAAACTTCCTGCTAAGCACTCCAGGAGCTACTTCTAAAGCTGATGTGAGAAAAGCTAAGAGAGCAGTTGAAAGGGGAAGTGAATTTTGGTCACTTGGGCTTAGAGCTCTATACTTTGCTCTTAATTTTCTGCTTGGTTTTTGGACCTGTGCCCATGTTTGTTTCGTCTGTCACAACGGTTGTGATGTTATCTTGCCACAACTTCAAGAGGTCAGATAATAATCGAAAGTAGCCTGCCTCAGCTGTGGCTGTAAATGAAAGTGCATTATTAATTTCTTGAGCCTCAAGTATGTAGAATTGGATCAAATTTCATTTATCATAAATGCATTAAAAACATAGCATTTGTATGCTTTTCTTTTTGGGTTTAATCTCAAGGTTACATGAAGTCATGGAATTGAAAAACTTGAGGTAAACCAATTTAGAAACCAAAATTTTGACCATAGACTGGAAAAAATGAAGTTAATCTTCTAATTTCTAGCCTTTGAAACTCTATTACATTCGTTTTTTCAGTCAAATTACCTTTCTCTAGGCTACCTACTATCCAACAACTCCAAATTAACAAGCATACGTAATTGTATTTACAATTTCACATAAAAAAATAAAATTTGGTGCTTCCAATCCAACAAATTAATAATTAGACAACAGTAGTTTCAACTGTTTCAACTGTTTCTGTAAGCTGATGAATCTTCACAGCCACCTCTGTGATTCTCTGACCAACCTTTTCAACCAGCTGCCTTCCCGGAAGCTGGTGGTCATGCAAAGGTCTGGTGTTTGTGTCCATGTAATGGAGGAATATGACCAAAACCAAGGAGGACATAAACATTGGTATTGGACCAAAAAACCACAGAAGCAGAGTTAGAGCAAAATAGAGTGCTCTAAGCCCAAGTGACCAGAAATCACCTCCTCTTATAACTGCCAGCTCCACGTACCAAGTCGGGATATTACTGTCTGGTGCGCTTATCAGATAGTTCGCATGAACAAAGTGCCTTGCTGATTGAACAAAGCATGCAAAGGCTAGAAGAAGACTAGTTAAGAGGCTTATGTACTTGATTTTAAGGATTGAGGGGTTGACGTTGCCGTAGATTAATTCGCTTGTGAAGACTTCATGGCTGGAACTACTTCCAAGCCAAGGTCCAATGAGAGAACTGAGAGTTAAGGAGACGGAACACAAAAAAGTTGCTGCTGATGTGTTGGATGAAATCACACTGAGGACTGTGCCAATATCTCTTTTATCAACCTGCAATTGAAGGTAGGCAGAGGAGATCAATTTAAGCTGTCTTGGGCTAAAATTTGTTACAGAATTAAAGCTATCATTTGAAAAAGAGAGAGAGAAGAAGACGAGTTTCCGGTTACCTGCATAATTCTTTCAACCCAAGCTCTTTTGTCATTGTTCTCAAAGCCAATGACTGTGGTGTGAGGGAGATGAAGATATCTGTAGAGAAGGATGATGTGATAGAGAAACATGATCAGCAATCCACTTGGGACCAACACCAAATCAAGGTCCTCCTTTCCAAAAGCCATAACTTTCCTTGCTGGTTTGCTAACTGATAAAAGAATGAAGATGGGAGATCTAATTTGTTACTGGATTTTTATGGTTATGTGAAATGCCGACTGTTAGTTCATAGATTGTAGACATCAAACTAGTACCATCCAATCAATATAAAATTTCAATTTAGAGTCTTTTTTGGTTATTTATAGCAAACTAAAACCTAGAAATAATAGGATAAAAATTCCTTGCTTAAACAAAAATCCTAACCCAAATAAAATAGGAAACTTCAAACTAGAAATATAGAAATCTGGAAAAGTAGAAATCCTACTAGTAATTGGAAAACTAGAGAATCTAGGAAACAAACAAATACATTAGGAAACTAATAAATTACAAAGAATTTTTTTAAAATAAAAAATTTGCAAATCCCTAATTGATACTTCATAAACTCTAAAAATTCCCCAAATGTCAACATCAACGAACTGAGAGAAAAATAGAAGATTAATAATTGAAAATTAACTTGGTTTCCTTTAATTAAGCCTTGAAGGGCATGGGTGATTGGCGTGCGGCAGGGATAATTGGCTCTTTATCCTCATGTTTTGTTTTTTTGGTTTCTCTGCGTGCAGGTAGGGGTTGGCTAAGGGATGTTTTCTGCCCAAGAGGGTGTGTGGGGTTAGCTTGGGTGAGCTGGGAGTACTACTACAGGCGAAAAAAATCAAGACACCTGGGCTATAGCCCAGGTTAGTCTGTGAATGGGTCTGTCCCTGATTGAACCTAAGACCTCCAGTGCAAAATACTCTTAACCACTTCATGAGTTACAAACCCCATGCTCTTGAGCTCTGTTTTTTAAGTACATGGTTGACATTTCAAAACCTCCATAAGGATACAATGATCCTAATCCCATTTATGTATTTACATTGGCCCCTTGACATGCCTCGGATTTCAAATGTGTCTTTTCTACTTACAATTTTGGTACACTGTCCATAGTACACTTGACATATATAGCTGTCATTCGAGATATCCTCAAGACTATTTCTGGTTTGCAGCTGCAGCTGGAGAAGATTTCCTGATACTCCCAACTTTACCATCATTTTTAGCTTTAGCAAAAACCCCATTTCTACTAGATTTTGGTGATGCCGGCCAATGCCCACAAGTGACAGCCATGTCCTTTAAGTGCTGCAAGCTTTCAAGAGTTTCGATAATGGCTGGCATTCTAGGTCTGTCCTTGGGGCTCAAACTTATGCATTGTAATGTCAGATGGGCAATCTCCTTTGCTCCCTTAACAGAATATTGGCCAGAAAGCCTTGGATCCATAACATAGCGTAACCTCCGAGTGCTAGACAGGTATGGTTTTGCCCAAGCAATCAGACTTTGCTCAGTCTTTGGTCTGGATTTGTCCATTGCTCTCCTTCCTGTTAGCAATTCAAGTAGTACTACCCCAAAGCTGTAAATGTCACATTTTGTTGTCAATTGCCCTGAAACATTAACCATCAATTTTTGTTTCTGTAAATCATCAAACTTTTTTTACTTAAAGGAAAATACTTAAAAGCCCAACTTTTTTTTTTCTTCTCAAAATCCATGCTGCACTTGATATAAACACATTCAATTGAAAAATCAACCATGTATATTGTGGAAACCGAGCATTAACATACTATGTCAGCAGTTGATCGTGAGCATTATCACCATGTTAATTGTCGTTGTATTAGTGTGACTAAATCTATCGGCTATATCAATGTCAAAACTTAAACTGATCCAACGACAATTAACATGGTGGTAGTGAACAAAAATGTTGTCAAAGAAAAGGCTGTTAGTGCGGCATTGTCTTTGACTTCAATGCTAGCTACCTGTTGAGACGTATTCAGGAGCAGCATATCCATAGGTACCCATTACTCTTGTTGTGACATGCGTTTCTGATCCTTCAGGTCCCATCTTTGCAAGTCCAAAATCTGACAGTTTTGCTGTGAAATCCTACCAACACAGATTGAAGGGACCATATATAATTATAGTTAAATTTCTGGAAATGCAAAGTAGGATAGATTGAAAGGGAGGAGCTATATATGTGAGAGAGAGAGAGAGAGAGAGAGAGAGAGAGAGACATACGGAATCTAGCAAGACATTTGAAGTTTTGAAATCCCGATATATGACAGGTTTCTCAGCCCCATGCAAGAAGGCAAGGCCTTTGGCTGCTCCTATTGCAATCTTTAGTCTTGTAGACCATGGCAATGAAATTGAAAGCCCTGCACTCATATCAGATAATTAGAAGCATGCAGCTACCAACAAAAGCAAAAATTGCTCTATCTAATCTACGCACTTTTGAATAAGTGATTCTCTAAGCTGCCTCGAGGCATGAACTCATAAACAAGAAGCCTCTCCTCGTCCTCGCAACAGTAGCCAATTAATTTCACCAAGTGGGGGTGCCTCAGCTGTCCAAGAAATATCACCTCTGCCTGCAAGAAGCGAGCCAATTATGAACAAATTGGTCAATCTTCCAACATTCTTGTGCGTGTTTTACTTTTAGATAGGTTCAAAAAAATTGTAATATTTCCGAAACTGGAGTGTACAGAAATTGTCAAATTGACTGGTCACCTTCGTGCAATGGTGTCAAAAAAACTAACCCAACTTAACTTTGAAAACTTCTTTTTGAGTTTTTGGCAAATGTCACTGCACATGAGTTAGGGGGACGAAATAGAAAATACTAGTACAACAAAAATATAACAAGGCAAACGTTAGATATTAGAGTAAAATATTTCTAAACACTTAATTAATGTTTAACTTGATTTAGTAAATGTGAGTTGGGCCAGTTGGTCAGGGAAGTGACCCTGACCCTCCTTTAGGCCGTTAGATGCTAGAGACAGGAAGAAAGGAAGAACTTTCTTTTCGCTCATGCTCTTTTTGAGAGAGCATTCACTTACTATAAGAGCAGTTCCAGCAGCTCGAGCTGGGGGGGTTTAGGCCCAAAAATAGTTTCCAGCAGCAAGGGCTAGCCCGGGCAGGAGGCGGTGGCCATGACATTGGGTGCCCCGAGGGGGAGGCGAGCTTGAGTTCAAGCTCGGGTTTGCTGACGTCAGCGATGACATCAGCAACAAAAAAATTCTATAAAAAATCTTAAAAAATTACAAAAAAAATTCATATTTTTTTAAAAATAAATACTTAGTCATATTTTTCACTTCCCACACCAAAACTCTATACAAATTTCTCTCATCATATCTCATGTGAATAGTTGTTGCCATGGCAATGGGTGTAAACATCCCAACCTTTTGCAAGGGCAGCCACTATTCATATGAATAGTAACTGCCCTAGCCCCTCCTCGCCATGGCAAAGGGCAAACTGCTTGAAGTACTCTAAGAGCAAAGATCCCCTTACACCCAAGTTCGAGTTTCCCTCCCCATAAATTAAATTAATTGAGAAGAATTAGACTATCGTTTATATTAAAAATAAAAAATATAAAAACTTAATTTAGAGGGGCCATTAGTGTAGTTGAGCAAAGAGGTCAAAAAGATGAGGAGAGGGTCAAGGCCATTCCTGACTTAAGAGTGGCTCTACCACATACTAGCACGTGTTTGGTTGTTTTTTTGTTTTTTTCGAAAGTTAGCAAAATAAAAATATAATCTAATTACAAAAGTTAGTCAAAACTCATTATTATAATAATAGTAACGATAATAATAATCCCATTATTTAGTATTTAGAAACTAGTTAGCATCGAAAATAAACCCGTCATGACAGAAAATAATAAGATTAAAATTTTAAAAATCCTTACGAGCCATTCGCGGTGTCCTTGCAGGCCTTCAATGTCCAGGAGCTTAACAGCAACAGCCTGAGCCTTCAAACCCTGCCTCAGATTCTCATCAACGTAACCCTTATGCACAGTTCCAAACCCACCTTCTCCAAGCAAAAAATTCACCGAAAAATTCTGAGTCACACCACGCAGCTCACTCAGTTGAAAATCGTACAAGTCAGACCCGAAAGACTGCGCAAGATCGTCGTTGATGCGCATTGACGAAGAACGGCTGAGATCGGAGAAAGACAACCTTCGAAAAGACGGTAACTGAGCGACATCCTTGGAAAAATCTGGCCTAGATGGCCTGCACCTGCTGAAGTTGCCAAAGATGGTTTGATCTTCAGCTGAACAGCAGTTTGCTGTGAAGGGTCTCCAAGGCTT